TTGTACACCACCCTCTCTCAGCTTTGTTGTGGAAGATGTTGGTCTTCTGAGGGTTTTTTTGGCCACAAGCAGACTGGAGTGACTTTTTTCTCCTCAATAATTCTTTTCAAATATAGGAATAAAAGTCAGGATTCTGAAATGCCATTAAGCTCCTGATCATTTAGAGATGAGGAAGAACAGTTGGCATTATACCAAAACTACATTCTAATGGAAATAGTGTTGCAGATTTGCAATCTATGTTTTACCTTTAAATGAAGTACTTTAGTCTTAGACTGAAAATAAAGCAACATAAAAACAAAATCCAACCAAGCTGGGAAACCAAAACTATTATACTAGTTTGATAGCCATTATTCAGTGGCTTGCCTTTTTTTTAAAAAAAACTCCCCACAACACAACCCCCCCCCAAAACACAACAAAACAACCTCAAAACCACACCAGAACCCAAACAAATAAAAGAGACAAAATCCAAACATCCAACCTTTCCCCATCCCTCTAATCATTTATATACCTGTCACTCTAATTTCACCACAGAAGAACAATTCCCTATTGACTGCAGCCTACAGGTAAAATAAGATGCCCACACTTCTTACCCCACCTCACTTGAGCACATCAGCAACGGCATCTCAAGCCATGGGCTTTTTTGGAAGGGGAGGGATGACCTCACTAAAGCTTGAGCTACAGTAGCCAGGCTCAAGCTAGATTTAGTACTAGTGGTTTTGTTCCCTACCTGCACCAAGTTCTGTTGGCAGCAGCAGACAACATGCAAAGCCTCCAAATACTTCAGAAAATGCTGTAACTTGGGCCGACGTCCAAAACAGTTCACCTCCTGATGTTTTCCATAGCTACTGTCATTGGTTCCTCACTGTCCTTACTTTCCTTTTCCCTAATTGTTTTCTTCCAAATAAATACACACAACAGACAGCAAACCAACACAATGAATTGAGAAGGAAGGGCTTGAGTCTCCCCAGGTGGAGCCTGAAGGGATAACTGGGTCAGAAAAGGCCTGAAAAAGCAAGGAAACTTGGCCGTTTAGAGTACTCCCTCCCCCAGTATCTGTTTCTAGTAACAGGATTATCCCAGTATTAGTATTGAAAAATACAGTCATAATCCAAAGTTATGGTCACTATTTGCAAATCACACAGCAGTTCTGGGTCTGCCCCGCCCAGTACAGATGCTCTGTACACTGGAGAAAGGGTCACACACCCACAGGAAGGCAAGTTTATAGCACAGCTGAAAGACAGAATTTTCTACAACCTTTTCTATGCTCCTCCTAAAAATATATTTAAAAAAAAAAAATCCATTAATTCAGAGGTAATATAAGTGAAAGAAATGTGAGTAACCTTACAGGAAGAGATATATTTAACAGTGGCATATATCAGTGCATGCAGCTAACAACTGACATCCTCTGTTACCATAACCACTGTGAACACTGAGCGTAACCACACAGGTGGCATCTTTATTTCACAAGATTAAAGATACAGTACAAAATGAATCTGTACATCTTTCTATTAACAGAATTTGTTTACACAATTATATTACATTTGACCAGCCTTTATACTGATTTTAAATACAAAATAAATTTACAAAACTCCTACAAGACCCTTTAAAGAACTGCAGCTGATAAAAACAAAGGGTTCCCCCAATAGTCCCTATTTGCCATATGCATTTGCAGTAGTTCAAATCAAACTAAATCTTTTCAGTTTAATATTCTCTGAAACAAAAATAGAATTTGTTTATTGTTGCCTATCTAAAAAGGAAGCAACTTGCAGAGGTGTGATCCCCTTTTACAGGCCAAAACTAGCATATAATAGGTGGAAACTAAATAATGCATAGTCTTAAAAGTCCTTTCACAATCCATATTTTCATGTTCTTCAAAAATAATATTTGATAAGTGATTTTTTCTTTTTTTTTTTCTTTAACTATAAAGAGAGCAGCTGACTTATGGAAGATGACTAAAAAGTGAGTAAAACTGTCTCATAAGGATGTTGGCATCACAGGCCCTATCTTCCATTACTTTGTCCCATCATGACAACATAAAGCAAGGAAATACTTCAGCACACAGCTCGGGGACAAGTTTCAGAGTGATGAACTAGAATCCTGTGTTCTCAACAGCTCAGCGTTCCTTTCAACCAGCAAGAACATCTAATTTGTCCGATTAATAATTTGAGATGTAGAACAATGCTTTTCCCCATATCTTTCCATGGTTTTCCAACATATAAAACTCCCAGCAACAAGTTACTGCTCTGCAGTTCCATTCTTCGTGCAGGGAGAGAAGAGCTTGCACCCAGGAAGGTCAAACAGGCAGGCTCAGGCCTACATTACTACAGACAACAAATGCATTTTTTTTTCCATTCAAAGCACGCTGAACATATCCAGAAAGCCTTCTCTTAAATCACGTTTCCTTTCTCAAATACTCCTGCATATAAACTGCAAGACAACCTGTATGCTACCAAAAGGGAACAGCACTTCATTGCAGCAAACTGAGGAACCCAGCTCCTTTAGGAAAAAAGCTGCTTGATCAATCGGGTGCACAAGAAACATATTGCTATGGAGTTAAATATACGTCCATCAACACACAACCTTCAGAACAAAGCAGCAAGGGATCGTCACAAAAACTTAAGTCATGTTGCAGACAACTGATTTGGAAAACCTACTCATTTCTTTAATCCCTGAGTTCACTCGTCATTACCTATGGTAGGTACCTTTTCACTACTGCCACTTCACTCAAATGAATGTCATCTGAAAAAGTTAGTGGCAGCAATCTGGTGGAAGGGAAAAGAGCAGAGAAAGACTTCCTTATTGCTTCTTTGAAAAAGCAGTTCATTAAAGTGAAATAACTTGCTGATCTTCAATTGTTTTCTTCTGCTGATTTCTTGGATGTAAAAATGCATCAGGTTCAGTGAAAGTCAGCTGTAAAGTGGTCACACAGCAGCAATGCTGAGAGATCCTCATGCAGATAGGAGAGAGCTTTCAAAATTTAGTTCTAGAAGATCAAACAACCAAAATGTTTTAATAACGCAGTAACAAAATTGTTAAACATACTAAGAGACCAATACCAATGAACCAGTGGTATTACCTGAAAAACATTTTCCATGTAATTTTTAATTTATTCATGCCAAGCTAAAAAGACTTATTAAGTGACAGAGGCAAAAGTACTTTGGAGGGAGTGTGCAGAAGTCACAGATATCTTAGAAATGCAGCTGGGGAGTGCTGTACACCTTAGACACTACGTTTCAATCCAGTGCTGTTCCATCTGCTAATGATGATTAAGACTGAACAAGATATTCCTCTATCACATGGTCCAACCCTCCAAACTAAAATGAACGATTTGTCTTCACATAACCAGCATAAGCATTTTGAAGTACTGATAAGTTCTACCTATATTTTAATACCAGTTATCCATGACGTTTCAGTTTTTTGTACTAAAGAGTGGATTGCTTATCTTCTTTCCCAGACTACAGATATATTGTGCAATAGTAAGTATGAAATCATGCCAAAATCTCAATTCTAAATACAGCATATTGATGTGTTGCTGCCAATCCACTGGAAAAGATTTGCACAAAAGGAAGCCCTTATCCCTTTAAACACAACAGCTTTTGTCAGAAAGCAGCTAAAGCCTCTTCATTTGTATTTCATTAAGCTTTAAGACAATATAGTCAGAGGGTTTCATGCTAGTACAGAACATTATTTAACTGCCACTGGTAAATAAAACCAGGAATTCCTGCGTTTTTTGCCTCTAAGCTACTCCCCCGCTGCTTCCCACCCCCAAACCCCGAAATCATTTTAATGAAAATTGTTACTAGGCGAAGATTCTTTTGCAGTCTAAAAACATCACAGGTGTATTCTTCACACTCAGTAAAAGGCCTTTGCACTGACCTGGCAGTATCAAGAAGCCATAACCTATTAGTCTTCCCTCTCTCTGGATTTTCTGAGAGGCTGGCAGCTCTGAGAGCACTGCTATATTTTTATCAGTCCAAGAAACTTTGAAGCAGTATAACTGCTGTAAACCCATGCCCTTTTGCAGAGAGTATGCATTTCTGGGGCCCTTTTGTGGAGATGCATTAAATAGATGCATGCAAGAGATACCACACACATTTCCTTCTTGCAGTGCAGATCACTTAACAGGACTGTTGAAATGAAATACAGAATTTTCACTTCTAAATACAACAACAAAAGTAAGCTAACTCAGAGATTTCTGGCTCTGTCCTTTCTTCAGTGTCCACAGTAATACTGGTGCTTTCTGCAGTCTAGGCTCAGCTTCTTCGTAAGAACAAGTTTAAATAACTTAGGAACACTACCAATTCACTTTTAATGTCATGAACTATTGGCCAAGTACACAAGCTTCAAAAAATTTCAGAAGAATATGAAATCTGGGCACTGTGTGGATAGTTTTCAATCGAAGCTTTACAGATCCCATTTGTCCCATCCATCTCCTAGACTACACACTGTCTGCTGAGAACTGTCTGGTCTAAGGGGAATAGCAGAAAATACTCAAACCAAAAAAGCACAAATAGATAGTAGCATGTTTGCTGGCTTAGTTCTACAGAGTTTATAAATAATCCATGTTAAACCCTCCAAGACAGCATAAAAGACAAAAGTGTAAGAAATACTAAGAAGTAATGAAATAAGGATTGTAGAAACACTTGGGATGCAGATCAGAATGTAAGTCCATACAGCTCTAGTCTTTTTAGAGTTTGAATATAGTTCAGCTTCTTGGACTTAAAGTGGCCATAAAATTATTATTGTTATTACTTTTATATAGGGCAACTGCTATCAAGCAGGCAAAAATATTCCAATGGTAGCCTTCCGCTCTCTCTAAGAGAGAACTAGAATAAAGAGGAACTGAATAAAGAGGAACTAGATACAGCAGGCAACATTTTTGTAGTAGCACTCTTGTGTTTCCATGAAAAAAATCCATAGTGTTATTCCATTGGCACTGAAATAACATTCAAATCAGTTTCAAAAGAATTTTCTTATCCCTGAAAAAAAGGCATCATTCCAAGCAGCTTTCAAACTTTTTTCTTTAAACCTCTTTGCGCCTCTTTTGGGGAACCATCGATCCAAAGTCCTAAATCACAATGAAAATTGTTCCTTTAGGAAAAATCCAGTTCTTCCACTGAGGCTCTTGTTGCTATTGCGGTGGTTGATGCTCTGGTGGGGGTTCTTGTTGAGGCACAGCTGGCCGCAGTCCTGCTGGTCTGGCAATTGCCTGATGTTGCCTTTGTCTGTAAGCTATAATTGTTCCCAAGAGCAAGGCGATGATGGTCATAAGGTAAAGGTCCCACTCAGGCCCCAGCAGCTGGTCCATATCAATATGTGAGAATACTTCCCTTATCTAAGAAAGAAGAAGTCCACATCATCATGTCAGAGAGCAAGAATGGGAAGTTACTTTGATCTTAAAATTTGACTTGTAACATTTTTCATGTACAAGTACCAGTTTTTGAACTTCATTAGCTTCTTCCTCTGAATAAACAGTATCACGTCAGTGACATTTTTAATTTCCAGGTTCTAAATGCCAGTAAAACTAAGAGCCACTTTGTCTAGGATGAGGTATTCAATTTTGTGTTCTAAAGATGAAGGTTCTTGGTATCTAGTTCTGTGGCTTCACATACAAAACATTAAAGTACACAATTTAAATGAGAATAAGGTATGCAACCATACTAGTTGTCTTAAAGAGAAGCAAGTGCCACATCCAGAGAGGCAGTGAACTGATCAGTCCAGCCACACTGGAAGCCATCAGCAGACTACCATGAGTGACACAACATTAAGCTCCAGAATACTCATTTGGTACTGAGATTTGTGCAGGTAAGGTACGGGGAAGATAAGTGACTCAGTGTTAGTTTGGATTGAACTGCCTTTTTATCAGACTTCCATTTGCCCAGGCAGTAGCTAACACAGGCTTTATGCTTCCCTTTATGCTTCCCTACTGTATCTGATGGCACTAGAGTCATTGTCAATTTAAATACACATTAGCAGGCTTAAAACTTCAAAACTAGTATGCAGAATACAGATATTCCTTCATAGATATTTGGTCAGTTGATCAGATATAGAGTATTTTGACTGTCCACTCTAGAAGTCCTCAGTCTTAAGACTATTAGATTTTGTCAAACTTAGCTGGATTGCCTCAATTCGCATTTGCTCTAAGCAGTAATAATTTTGTACATAAATAATCCAAAAAGACAACAAGATGTCAGAATACTGAGAAGTATTTCATACACTGTATGGGAAGACTTCACCTTAATTTTAAGCAAATATTTTTTTCAATGCCATTACTCAGCAGAAACTCTGCACAATAGCTAAACAAAAAAATATTTTTTCCTCGCAGGAATCAAACACAACCCAAGTGGTTTTGTTACAGCTGAATATTAAATAGCAAGAGGATCAGGGCTACAAAAAAGTATTTTTTTTTCCCTGAACAGCAAGTATGTCATTGTAATAATCTACTTTGATAGCAGATTGACATGGGTAAGAAGAGTCAAAGACGGTAAGGAAATCCTCTTCAAGGGCAAGAACAGCACAGAAGAGCATTGGCTGTGCACATACCAGTTTCACACAATTGCACAAATAAGAAATAGGAATCACAGCTTCAGTAACTTTCTAAATACACAACAATACAGAACACATCTAAGGCTCAAATAAGACTCCTACTTAAATTACAACTCAAGCTTCTTTTAAAAATGGAAAACACATTTGTTATTTTTCCTTTTAATTAAGCATCACTTACATTGATTTCTCGTACATACTGCAAGGAATAAATCACTCCAAGCTTGCAAAGTGCTAGGAAGACAGGAACCTGGGCATCTGGGCTTGCTTCAGCTGCCATGTCATAGAATCGTTTTGCAAGATGAATATCCTAAAGTTAAGAAAACACAAAGCTTAAAGAACTTGAAACATTAACCAAAAGCTGGAGAGCTTTTGCTATAAGCAACTGTATACTGCTATAAATACAAGGTTTTTTGTCAAGATAAACATAAACCATTCAGTAAATTCTTTGCTTTTTTCAAAGGGACACTCACCCTCGAACAGAAAAATAAATGGAAGCTAGAGCTTTTTCTATAAGCAACTGTATACTGTTATAAATACAAGGTTTTTTTGTCAAGATAAACATAAACCATTCAGTAAATTCTTTGCTTTTTTCAAAGGGACACTCACCCTCGAACAGAAAAATAAATGGAAGCTTCAATCTGAGGATGAAGCTATGGTAACTGATGCTAGAATTGAAGCTCAAAGAGATTAGTATTAAATCAAAGTATTAATTTAATTAGTATTAAATCAAATTAGTATTAACCAAAGAGATTAGTATCCGACCCATGCACCATAAAACTAAGGTGCATACTTAGGTAACTGGTACACTCTAATGTCTCCAGCACCACACCAAACATCAAAGTCTGAGAAACCCCGCGTCCCAGAGGAGCACACAGCAGCAACTCCTCCCAGCGGTACTACTGTACCCCTACTGTACAGCGCAGCTTCCAGCCACTTCTGCACAAACTCCCAAATTAGATTCTACTCCTTATCCAAACCAGGTGTAACTTACGTTAGTGAGGACAGCCTGGCAAAAGCACAAGCACAACCAGCCAGCACCTTTAGGAAGAGCTTAAATTACTGCTCGCTTCTGTGGTAGCTGGAACAAGAAGGTGACTGTAGCTGAACAGTTTAGCTTTCCTTGTTTGAGGTTTTTTTTTTAGCTCCCCTTCAGACACATACTGTGCAATATGAGGATACTTGGACACAATCTGCCTATGTTCACTCGGTGAAGGACAGGCCTGTGTTAAACTTACCTCTGAAAGTATTCAAAGTTAAAGTAAGAAAAATAAATGTCCAGAACTTCACATCACATGCTCATGTTATAATTTTATCCTGATTGTGAAATACCATAAAGATTTTCTGCTCATTGATACAACAGATTTTAGTTCCGTAGGACATGGGGAAAAAACAACATGAAAATCTACACATTATGTGAATGAGATATACTAGCTTCATATTTTAATTCAATTGAACAACTCTGAATACTGCTTGAGCCTAGGCAGTCTATCTTTTGTATAACTACTTAAAAGAGTTTCCTTACCTCCTTTGTACTGTGCTTGTATCAGTATAGAAGCAGATCCTAAATCATGGCATATTTTTATTTCTATTAGCAAGCACTTCATACTGTTTATACATTCTTCACTTTCACTTGACAGACAAGTAAGAACTGTAGGAGTCTGAGCTTTAACACACAAATAGCACTGAAATACCATGCCAAATCTTCAGACAATGAAATAATGAATGTGGGATAATTAATCTGTTATTTTGAGCAGTATATGCAGTCTTCATTCTGACATGCAGGCTCAGGAATTGGACATTAAATCTACGAAAAATGTGTAACAGTGTACATGTATGACATTTCTGAAGGGAATTAATATTTGGCATTGACCTGGTACGAGTCTGAAAGCCATCTATAGACAGGAAATACATATCAGATTCTATGCTATATGAAAGACTATTCATTCAATAAGTAAAGAGAGAATAAGGCAAAAGCTGTTTGGGAGGAGGAGTGGGTGGAAACCCAGCAAAACAAACAACTGTCCAGAATGGACAGAGACCTGAACGGAAGTTGTGCAGGCCACCTTACTGGATCCTTCTCCCCAGCTCTGGAGTGCTTGCACTCTTAATGACATTGGTTCTGGCAGGGAGAGAGTAAGACTGCACAGCTCTTTCTTCAATAGACTAAATCCCCAATTCATTGGATACCACACTACAGAGCTAAAATGTTTATACATCCCTTCCACAGGCCTCTAGTAGAAGAACAGACTTCTGTGGTAGACATCACCCACTACAGCACGAAGCATGATTTTAAATGTCAGTCATTTTCAGAGGTGCTCAAAATTGAGTGATTTCCACTCTAGAAAAGGAAACCCAAATTTTTTTGCTTCACTCGAAACTCAGCCTTCACCTTTTTCAGAACATTTTAGCCCAACACCATTTTAGACTTACATAGTCAGTCCTAAATCTTACAGTTGTAGATTTTCAGGACACAGCAAGCAAAGACATTACAGATTCAGAATTCCTGAGACTGGCTTTATACACAGAATTTGCTTGCTTGAACATTCTCAGTGCTTCTTTCCCATATCTATATTAGCTGGCTCCATTTTCCTCGCAGTTCAACACTCCTCACCCTAGTGGATCTGTATGAGGGAAGTATTTTTCAACTGCATAAAGCTCATCATGGGCCCCTGTGTACTCATTTCAGCTGCCTACACGTAGTCACCCCAGCTTCAGGTGGGAGAATGCTCTGTGGAAATGACAGCATTAAGACTCAAATTTTCCCAAATTTTTAGCAGTTATGTTGAATGTGAAATAGTAACTTCTTGAAAGTTTTTATTACTTGCTCTAAATTGTTTTTTTTTTCCAAAGCAGAAGTAAAAAAAACCCCAATTTTTCAGACAGATTTTTTAAAATTAAAAACTCCCAACCTTAACACTGTTGCTTTTAGCTGCCAGCTCATTTTCAGAAGTTAACTAGTTTTAAGGACACAGTTAAAACTAGAAAACAGTAAAAAACAGCTTTAGAAATAATGTTGTTTGTGTACTGAATTGTCACAATATTGACTTAAGACTTGCCCTTCACTGTTCTGACCCTTTGTCAAGAATTTAGAGCTAAAGAAACAAAAATTGGCCTTTTAATAGAACAATAAAAATAGCTAAAAGGTGCATACCTAGATAAAAAACAAGTTCTGAAACTCACTAAAAATAAGGAAAATGAAGCCATTTTTTACAGTTCCTGGCAATCCAAAACATATTACTAAAATCATGCATTAATTGCCTGAGTTAATCACACATTAAGGTACAGTTGGTTACTTGAAATTAGCATGCAATTACTAATCACATGATTTTGACACATAGAAGAAGATGTTACTCTGGATTCTGTAAGTTTTAGTTAACTCATGGACAGCAATACACCACAGCCTTCCAAAGAGAAACAGCTGTACTGCCTTCTTTCAGGCAGTGTAGTTTGTATAGCAAATCATGGCCCAGTCTAATTTGAAAAAACATAGCCAGTAACCATATCATTGTTGGTGCTTATGGTTTGTTACTTGAAGATGCACAGAACTTGTTTTTGAAATGTCATGATACAGAAATCAAATTAACCAGTGCTTCAGAGGATGAAAACTATCTTGTGGTAAATATTCTGAATTTTGAATTAGTTTGCATTCATTTCATTATACTTCAAAGTCTTGAAAGCATTACTCATGTGGCACTCATTTTGCCAATATTTGCCATTTGGGGCAAGTAGTTTTTTTCCCTATCTGTGTCTCATTTCTTTCCTTGAGTAAGTATAACCACACTTCTGTATTTGCTATTAGAGAATGCATTGTGAAACATGCTTAGTACTGCTAAAGCAGTTATATAGTGGCCAAAGCCCAGCAGCAGTTGCAGACTGAATCTAGTATTAGTAAACTGTTGGATACTTGTGGGCAAAAAGTTGGACACAAGCCAACAACGTGTGCCTGCAGCCCAGAAAGCCAACCACATCCTGGGCTGCATCAAAAGAAACATGGCCAACAGATGAGAGAGGTGATTCTGTCCCTCTACACGGCTCCGGTGAGACCTCAACCCAGAGTACAGCGTCCAGCTCTGGAGCCTTTAACACAAGAAGGATGTGGACCAGGTGGAGCAGGTCCAGGAGGGCCACAAAAACAATGAGAGAGCTGGAGCATCTCTTCTACAAAGACAGGCTGAGGGAGTTGGGGCTGTTCAGCCTAGAGAAGACTCCAGGGAGAATTTATAGCAGCCGTCCAGTACCCAAAGGGGGCCTACAGGAAAGCTGGGGAGGGACTGTTCACAAGGGCAGGTAGCCACAGGATGAGGGGCAACGGTTTTAAACTGGAGCAGGGTAGATTTAGATTAGACGTTAGGAAGAAGTTCTTTACTGTGAGGGTGGTGAAACATGGGGACAGGTTGCCCAGAGAAGCGCTGGAGGCGCCATCCCTGGAAGCATTCAAGGTCAGTCTCGACCAGGCTCTGAGCAACCTGATCTAGTTAAAGATGTCCCTGCTCCCTGCAGGGGGCGTTGGACAAGGTGACCTTCAGAGGTCCCTTCCAGCCCAGCGCATTCTGTGATTCTATGGAAGCAGACTATGGGCTTGCTTACCTGCTTGATGCCCAGTCCCTTCTCATGCATGTAGCCCAGGTTAAACATTGCTTGGGCACTGTGCTGTTGCTCTGATGCCAGTCGATAGTGAATAAATGCAGTTTCATAATCCACATCAGTACCGAAACCATAAAAGTGGTAATCTCCAAGTTTAATTCTTGCAACAGTATATCCTATAAATCAAGAAATAACAGAAAAGACAAAATAGCTAGCTAGGCGAAGAAAGCCTTAGTTCCACATGAAAATGCAGTAAGGGCTTTAGTATTACTTTCCACAGTTTTCACAAACTGCTTCCCTTTTGCCCTCTCTCACACAAACAGCCTTTTATAATTTTTTAAAATTGTGTTTAGCTAGCCAGAACACAACTGATTTCTATTTTCAGGAAAGACCTTGTCCCAGTAATCCTACCAACATATTTATTTCTATTTAGTGGCATCAGTTGAAAAGTACACAATGTTGTTCATAGTCATTTATAACAGAAAAACTTTCTGTTTGTTATAGGGTTAAGGCCTTCCGCTTCAGTTTTAAAACAGAGACACTGAAAACTGGAAAAATAAAAGTCTCTCACTGTTATTTAGTAATGGAATACGTAATCATTCCATCCTCTCAATTTCTAACTTTCTCCTAAAAGCCAAGTAGGTCTGAAGATTTTCTGACAAAACTCCTAGGCTTTATTTGCATGATAAACTTGCTTTCCCTCCTCCCTCATTTCATAAAATCCAGGAAATCAAATGTTTATGGCTCTACTAAAAATAAACTAATTGGAACTGTGAGGTATGGACATACCTTGAGAAGCTGCTCTATTCCAGTGAAGCAAAGCTCGAGGATAGGTTTCATTTTCTCCAACTATGCTAGCTTCTTCTAGAGAAGAAAAATAACTCAGTTAAATAGCAGCATGGTATATGCACACACCACCTCCAAAAACCCCCACACTTATATCCGGTCTGCTGAAATGAATTAAAAAACGGATGTAATCTGTGCTATAGCACAACCAAGATTAAACCAATCTAAAACTTACAAAGCACCTTTTCATTTATATGGTCTTTCCATGTATCAGCCCGCATAAGAGCTAGGAACAAACTGTATCATTTCACTCTGAATTATTGCTTAGTGTCTCCCATTCTTGCTCTAGCTGACTCTGAAACAAGTCCTAACAGCGCACACAATCTGGGCTCTGACAAAGATCCACTCAAATACAAGGCTGAAGTATCTGCTATTTTAGTTTGACCATCAGAATTTTTAACCCAGGGGAAGATGCTATTTCATTGCAAGAATGCACTCTCAGCCAACTGTCATTGCTGTACCTTAACTAAAGATGAGTCATTAAGGCACCTTTGAAAAACATTAACTGGAAATTAAGATGTTAGATAAGCCTATCAGGTACCAGTAGCTGTAACAGTTTTTATATTAAGATACAAACCTAAAAAGCTGGTAATGAGACACCTAGATTCCTGGATTTGAGATTCAGGAAGTATAAAATACTGGTTTTGTAGTTTCTAGAAAGGTTTGTTACTCGTACTTCTGTTGTTTTCCTATGACCTCAAACTCTATCAAATCTGAGTTCTAGCCACCTAGTTGCAATAAGAGACTTGGGATCAATTTTTTCAAATCCAGCTGAACCAACTGCCCAGCTCCTCATCCCTGCTTCAAGTGTAGTGTAAGTTACAAAAAAATAAATAAATCAGAAAAAAAATGCTGAGAAAAGACATTACAAGATAAAGAACAAAGTAAACTGAAGCTTGTATGCACAGTAAAAGCCAAAAGTAAAAATAATGCATTTCTTATTTTGTAGATTTAAAAATAAAATGTTAAGGCTGTGTTTAGTCCAGGGAAGAGAGTTTTCAGCACTCTCCAAGTTTCTAAAGAATTCTCCTTATCTCAATTCTAAATCCCCTAAGTTGGAATCTAACTGCATTCTGACTTTTAGGCCAGAAAGCTATCCTTAGAGGTGAAAATTAAAACCGACTGCTTTCCAGTGTGAAGTGCCGGAAAGAGGACAAGAGTCTCACTGAAGTTCTAACTAAACAAGAGCTACGTAATTTTAATTTCAAGCACTCTAGCATTCTACTAAACGGGCTACTGCAGGTCAACTCAAAAAAACCCCACCAACTTTCAGTACAAATTCAGGTCCTTACTCTGATCAAGTATGAAAGCAGCATTGCTCTGTGCAACTTCATAGCCTTGTTCTGCCAAAAGAAGATACTGAACCACAGCAGAATTTGAATCACCGTCTTTATAGCTGTTGTAGGCAGTCATCAGTCTTTCAGACCAACGTCCTCGTTCGCATACATTCTTAAACAACTGCAGAATCAAAAAAAAAAAAAAGGGACGGGGAGGCAAAGACTGGTTGTCAGGAACTTCAGAAATTTAGGTTTTGCAACAGGTAAACCTTTAACATCGAAATGCCTGTTCAAAATATTTACATGTCACAGGTAAAACTTGACAAACTTGCTGCTTAAGACAGAGGCTACTGCAGAAATACATACCAAGACTCAGATGTTTACTCAGAATTATTCTTAATATCAGGGTTTTTGTTACACTTAAACCTGTGTCTAAATGAAGGATTCAACACTTACAAAATACTGATACATTCTTTTGATTTTCTTCAAAAGTCATAAAGCAAATACAAAACCTGCCCTACCCACATAAAATATTTTTTTTTTCCTCATGAGATAAAAATGAGTTTGTTAATATCACTTTTCCTTTTGATAGCCTTGGCTCTGCAGCCACCAGTAGATTTTAGCTAAGACAAATTTCCTACGTAAGCTGACATGGTTACATTCAGCCTCTTGCAAGTCAGTATTATTTGATCTTTATAAACGGATGATCTTACCTCGACAGCGGTATGGCAGGATCGCATCACTCCAGTGCCAGTAGCATGCATCTGAGCCAGATTATAGAATGCCAAAATGTGGCCACCCTGGGAGGCCAAGTTAAAATATTTCAAAGCTTGTTTATAGTCTCTCTTGACTCCAATGCCATCTAAAAGAAAGAATGTCATTGCTATTCATTCCTCTTCAAAAGCAGAGTTGTATGAAATAGAGCATGTACTTGGTCTTTAAAATTATTAAAGAAAAATGTTGTGAATGTGTTAGGAAAAAACAGAGTAAAATATCAATTCAGTGCACTAAGATGACTCTTCATGCACCATATACACACTTCTAATGCCACCTAGTGAACAGTTACTGGAAGGGCAGATGCTTACACCTGCAAATTATCATTTTGGTACCACTTACTGTAATACATGGAACCCAGCTGCAGCTGTCCATCAACCCATCCTTGCTCTGCAGCCTTCTGGAAATACTTCAGTGCTAGCTCATAGTTCTGCAGGAAGATTTGGTCCAGTCATTAGAGCTTTGCAATACACCACAGTAAATAAAGAGGAAAAAAAAAAAAAAGCATGCATGCAAAAGCGTAAGGACAGATATCTATTACAGAAAAATTTCACACCAGAACATCTTGCTGTAGATGCTCACCTGGTCAACACTTGGAAACAAAAAATGAAATAGCCTACAATGATATTAGCATGTCTTATGTCTGTAGCTCTCAAAGCTTGCATACCTGCATAGCATTGCTATTACCGTTAACAGAATGGATGCTCTGTTCTGCTTCTAGAACAATCATTTAACTAACTTCCTCAACTTCAGGCTAATTCAACTTACAAATATCTGTTTGCATAGCTAAATATAAAGCATTCGACAAGAAATCTTCTGTGGGAAAATGAAGAAGGTTAACTAACTAAAGTCTTAAAGTGTCCCTTCATTCTCCAAAGAGACAAAATGAGGACAGTTAGGACTTATTTCACAAAAAAAATTAGAGTCAAGTTCAAAACTCCTGCTAAAAAGTCACACTGCTATGCATTTCTAATAGCTTCAGTAAAATCTGAAAACTTATTAGAGGGAACTCCACATGTTTCATAGCTGCTAACTCCATGGTGATTTTTTTTTTAAAAAATATTACAGATTTTCTCATGGAGTTTCCAGCGTAATAGACATCTTCACAAATAAGTCCTATAGCATACTTCCCTCTAGAGAAAAAGTCTGTAGTCAACAAGAAGTCACACAGTCACCTACGATTATAAAGATGACTGTCAAAAGCTTACCACTGGGACGCCTCTTCCGTAGAGGTAAGCCATTCCTAATCCACTCTGTCCAACTGGATTACCCTGAAAACACGGGAAAACACTTCTGTAAAGAACGGCAAATCCTACAGCTACATCTTTCAAATTTGGTATGTCTTGTAACATCACTAAAACAAATAGTGCTTAAGACAGATTTGCTCCACTCTTAGTCAGCGGTAGTTATTTAGGGGAAAAAGAGCATTTTTGGTAATTTTTTTTCAGTAATTACACAGGTGATTAACAGGAAAAAACAAAAGCTTTGAACACTAGTTAAGAAAGTGTACTGTGCACTTTCAAAATGTCACACAAGCTATAGAACGCACCCCCATAGAAAGGTGTCACATTAATAGCTTACTCATCTTTAGTTTTTCCAAGTTTCAGATGTTCTGGATGCTACAGCAGCTCCCAAAACAACTACAGGAAGTTCAAGAATCTGTCTTTAATAAATTAAAGACAGGTTTGTGGCTGTCCTCTGTGCTACTTTACTGACCACTGCTCCTGCAAAAGTGTGCACTACAGTATTCTTTCAGTGCCAGGACAGGCAACAGGGCACATGAGAACCTTCAACGAAGGCTGGAAATTAGCAAATTGACAGATCCTTACTCTAGGCCAAAGGTGTAGAACAGCAATCTAATTGTGAAATACAAGAACCATGAAGACAGTTATCTTACAACAGTCCCTTCAAAACTTCACCTACTGTGTTTCACTTGCTAAACATATTTCCTGAAGGACTACTCATGTTTTAACTGTGCAAATGCTACCATAAGGGACAAGTCAGAAGACAGACATGGGGGATTAACAGCCAAAACCCAAACACTCCAATAAGCTAAGAGGTATAAACCCCAGAACATTCTATATTCACTGACCACAAAACAGAAATCAGATAATATAGTATGAGTGCACTGTACATTTCTATGACAAGACAACTTCAGATTAATGAAAATTAACAACAGAATTGCAGGCTCTTCAGGTGGAGAGTATTTCATGCTAATGCCAGCACTCATGAACTGCTGAACACAGCTCGATGAATTACCATGAGCAGAACTGGAGGCAGTTTCCGACACTAACTTCAACAAGCAGGGTTTAATTATGGGCTAATCTGGGACAGAAATTGGGAGTAGGTGTATGCACATGGAAGCACACAAAGGATGCATCTGCAGCATTTCTGAGCTAATCAACTTTTTAGTGCATATGTTGTATTTCTAGCTTACATACCATATCAGCAGCTTTCTTGAAATACTGAAGAGCCGTTTCATTGCTCTGAGGTACAACATCACTTCCTTCTGAGTACATCTGAAGGAGAAAGACATTATTGAAGAACAGCTGAAGAAGTCAGTTTAGCGTGGAGATCATGAAGCATCTTCACCTTGCAAATGAGAGGGTGTCTTGTAGTACTATTCTATTGTGTTACTGGATAATTATTAAAGAACTTGCCCAGAAGCAGAAAACACAACCCTATGCTGGAGAATTCAGAGTCAGAGGGTTTACTGTGCATAAAATTTAAAAAAAAAATAAAAAAATCATGAAAGTGACCTTCATTTTTGAGTTCTAGCAGTGTGCAGTGAAGAACACACTCAGGCAAATACCTTGTGAGATCAATGGAAGTCAAACTATGTTGGGAGTTAAAATACTTCTTGAAAACAAAGCAGAAGTTGGTTACTAGACCCTGTTCATTTCAGCATTTATTAGATACAAAACACTCATGGAGTAGAGAAAGCAGGAACCTGCAATTTCTCCTGTCAGGTGCCTTGACCAACACATTATGTTTTCATTTTTTCATGCTTCAAAGACATGAATTTTGCATCTTGTACTGTAGTAACAGCCTGAAAAAATGAGCTAGAGCTGCTGCTTATTGCAGCCTAACCTTAGAAGATACTCAGATGGAGTAATAAGGATTTGGCTCCTCACAGGATGAAGGTAGCCTGAAACCCAGAGCTCAGGCAAGTGACCTAAATACCGTTCTAAGCAGCAGCACATTAACATCAGTAACAGCTTGTCAATCATGTTTCAGATGAAAAAAAGGACTTAAATCTGAGAAAGCTGATACAGTGGCCCACCTTGCAGATAGACTCAGGCCTTGCTTCAGACTAGATGCAGACCTATTAGCAACTCTGACTCAGATGGCTCAGCTCTCTATACAGAATAAGAATAGAGATGTTTCCTCTTTCTTCCCGTACTTCGTATTTCCCACTAGTACGGAAGAGCAAGAGGCTAAGCCTCAAACTCCACCACAGAAAAATGACATTTAGGTATTTAACTATTTAATTAAAAAAACCCCAAACATCTAGTTCAAGCACTATTTGGAAAAAAACCCAAAAGTTCCTGAAGTGAAGGAACAAGTGAAAAACAGACTAGACATAGATTATGTCACTCAAATCTTGCAGGACAATTCAAAAGAGTAGCAAAATCGAAGTACTGAGATTACAGCATTCAAGTATTAGATTGTCTAGTACAAGAAAGTAGGAAATATTTGTTATTTTTCGTTGAAAAGCAGTCAGTTTTCTTATGTTTGACAGTGGTCATATCTTACCTTTCCTAGAAAGGCCATGGCATGTGAATTGCCAGCATTAGCCGCTTGATTGAAGTACTCAAATGCTCGCTGTAGGGAAGAAAACAAGTATTTTAGCCACTATGACGATGATTTGAGTACCTCTTCTTGCAAATCAAGCAGAGGTGAGCAGGTTGCTTGCCAAGTTACCAGGTTCTTCTGGGGATATGAGTTATCAGTCTCACCTAATTTAATATATTCAACAGGATTCCCTACTTATAATTGGAATATTGAGCAGCCATCCCTCCCAACAGTGTATTCCAAAAAGGAGAGGGGAAAAAAATCAACCAAAACACCACACCACAAAATCAGAACAACAACAAACACGACAACTGCTACAATGCACAACCTACACTGGTAAATCCTACTTCCTTATTGTACCTCCAAACCCTGTTTAGAGGAGATCTGGCAGTTTTACACAAAGCTTGGTTATATTCATTCTGACCCCTTGATACCATCTCTGAACCCTTCTAGAGAAGGTGTTTTAAATGTGATGTCCATTAAATTTCTGGTTGGTAGCTGAATCTGAAATAATCCTCAGAACTGCACATCCTCAGTTCTTTTTTTTGAATACATACTTTAAAACAAGGTTAGCTATTTTAAGCAGTAACTAGGTTGCACTGTTTTGTCTATAGCAGCAAAATATTCTTGCAAGCCACAAACCAGATTATCATTGCTAATGCACACAGTGTCTTATGAAGACTCTACTACGTGCACAAAAGCTCAGCCAGTTTCAAGTACTACTTGATGAAAATCTGTTCTTTGTTTTTAACTGTCTCATTTCTAACACAATTAGTCTTAAACTAATTGCGTAAGAAAATCAGCTGCATGTACTGGTCACATAAATATTCAGTTTTATTGAATGAATTAAGTTTTATTGAACAAGACTATTGAAGTAATGAAATACCTTACAGTGCTACTTAAACACTTCTGCTTCACTGTGGTCTCAGCTACACTTTCTGCCCCTCTGCCAGGTGTAATATGCATCAGAGATATACAGAAAGGGTACCTGATGATTTTGCTCTACTCCTCTTCCTCCGTGCAAGTGCAGCTGTCCAAGGCCAACCTAAGAAATAGATTTCACATTTCCAATAAGTCACTTCTCACTAGGGATTTTCTTTTTCTAGTAATACAGATATCAGCAAACTAATTACATGCACACAGACTACATCAGAGTTAAAGATGCCACATAGTCTGCAGATACAGATTTGCTTCAATAACTACACTACAGTCCTATTTTTTTCACATTAGTCTAAGCAGAAAGTTATCCTAGATAAAAGTGAGGTGACCATCCCAAATACAAAATAATAATTGTTCATGTGAATTCTGCCTCCTTAATTCTGAAGTTATACATGACCAAGTTGAATTGTGGTGGTTTGCCCATATTCATGTCCTCCCCTCCAGCAATGTGCAGAAGAGTTCCAGCCTGCAGCATGTGCAAGTCATGTAAGAACAGAAGCAGTGAGAAATTGAGATCCCCTGTCAGGGCCAGTTCTTTTGATCAAGGCTTCCTCCACAACATCTAGAACTATCCTCAAACTAGTCTGGCTGGTTTCTCGTGAAAGCCAAGATTCTCTTTCCCAAGATACTAAAGTCATAACATTCTGGACTGATTCTCCACAAAAATTTGCATTTTCTGTCAAAGTTCTAACACACTAAAATAAAAGCCTCTTCTCATAAAAACTAATCAGGAAATAGTAACCAAGTTGATTTAGGGCAAAAGATAAAACTAAGGCTCCAACACCTTGCCACTGAAAAGCTCTACATGCCATTAGGTGAAAATCTTACCTGTGCTTGTACATCTCCTTTCTCTGCTAAGAACTGATAATACTGAATCAAGTCTTCTTCTAGCATTCCACTTGCCATTCCTGGATTTTCTACTTCATCTGCTAAGCGAATTCGCTGAACCACTGTGCCACCAGTCAAGGAAATGTCGCTAGCAACTGGAAAACAGGTTAAGATAAATTTTCATGTAGTTTTGGTCAATGCAAGTATTACACTGCTACTTTGTAAAAGCATAGCTCTACACAGAAACTGTTACTCAGAGAATGAAACAGTTTGACACTTTCTAAGAATTAAAGACATTTCAATATCTGAAGATAAAAATAGCACATCATGATTCAGCAGCAAACAAATAATTTGTTTAATTGCAAGAATTCTCTATTCTTATACTATGATTGTTGTTAGTTCTTCTAGCGTCTTCTAGGTGAATGATATGAAAATACAAAGTCAGGAACATTAGCCTCGTAAAGTTTTTACCATGATTAGCTACAAGTCGGTAGTGAGTAAGAGCAGATTCACAACTTTGAAGGACTCCTATCCCAGCCCAGTACCGGTAGCCCTAGAAAGGAAAACAAAAAGATACGGGACTATGGGTTATTTAACAACATAGCATTTGCCAGGTTATAAACTTTTTCCACATTACTTGAGCAAGATTTGGTGAGACAAAAGTCAGAAGAAAAGCTACAAAGACCATTGTGCCAGCATTAAAAGCAACTGACTGATACCATTCAAGGTTAGGGGTAGCCAATATACTCCAGATACTTCTTTGGAAAAAGTAAGTAAGCAGAATGATACTTATGGGTGAAAACTTAAAATCTTTTACTTAAATATGTGGCACTTGGTCTTAAATCTCACAATACTGATTAAAACAGTATCTTCTGCAAATACCTTTCTGTCTTTCACAGTTCTCATTAGCCTATAAAAATGACAAGTCTGACACTTTTACTTCAAGTCAAGAGATGTAACCATGGTCCATCTAAATACATAGTGGTATACACCTTAAAACAAGCAGACTTTTACTTAACAAGCAATAATGGGGAAGATACTATTGCTCACCCAATGCATGCATGATGGTCTAGTATTTGGACAGTGTATCCACATGTGTACAAATATTACATTAAAAATTTAAGAGTACAAAAAAAAGCTTTGCAGGTGTAGTTATTAACTATCTTACTTACCAAGATCATATGGGCAATCAAATTTCCTCCTAAAGCTCCAAAAGTGTAATACACCAGGGCCTTAAAACAAAATCATCGGTTACTTAACATCTGCCTCCAAGGTAAAATACAAGAGCATACACTGAATATTTCAAAGTTACCTTAGCTTGACTAGAATTGACTCCTAGACCAGATGCATATAGAAATCCAAGGGCCTAGAAATAAAATTAAGGTTGTCAGCACATCATTTGAAAAATTTAGTATAAATTTTTCTGCTTAAGGATATATATGTAAAAATATATATATTTATGCTTAAGTATAAAGAAAACTAAAAACAGTGCAAAACTACAAAGAATATGCCAAGATATAGCTCTTTCTTCAGTTTAGTACCTCCTATATCTAGACCCTTCCTTGCCCCTTCTAAAGAGCAAAGTTTTAAATCTTTCAGTTGCCTAGGGCACTAAAATACATCTCACTAGAATTCAGTCCAGTGGAACAAACGCAAGCAAGAAACTAGTACTTCCCTGAATGTCAAGTGTAGATCCAAGGGTCCTAGGTCAGTACACATATCCCAGTTTAAAGACCCTCAAGCAAAGACCAGCAATATCTATCAGGTTATTGATGTATCCCATTTGTCTCATACACCAGCGTAAATATTCACGAATGATGATCTTCTCTGGAGAGTCTTACTGTTTGATTTACTGTCTAACAGTAGCACTTATGACTATAAATATAAGCAGTTAGAATGCACAGAGCTGTTTGTCTGAAGCTTTTTCCAGAAGTTATTTTTATTCTTAAAACTTACATAATGACTGCTCTATCTGTAACACCTGTTGCAGCTGTGTGGCTCAGAAGAGAAACTAGCAGCACAGAGGACAACAGCATATATATATGTATATACATATACACACACACATTATATATAAAAGGTCTCTGTATTTCAGTATTCTAATACTATTCTAGGCAACTCTAAAAGCACACCAAAAAAATAGTGACCTCATGCAGACAGTATTGAATTCCAGACTATTAAAAGTCAAGTATACACTGAGCTATAAAGTCCCTAGAGGAAAAAACATCTTCCTGCTTTCTATGGCAAATCCACATTCCCAACATTAAACAGAAGAGCAGGAGACTGGGTAACCAAAGACCTAAAAGAAATTCCTGAAGAAGCTGACACTTCCAAAAGAAAATATGTAACTATACAATAAAGTATATGCAGATATTGAGACATTAAAATCCGTAACATCACATTTTATCACATTACATGTGAGCAATTACATATAAGCAATTTTATAATGTTCAAAAGCACAAGCACAAAGTAAATCCTATCCCCCTAAACAGCTTTCAAGATTCCTAGGAGTTTAAATCTTCCTAGATTATAAACTTGTGTGTGTGTGTGTGTGTGTCTACCTATCTCAAAGATAAATTTGCAGATGAAAAGCCACAACATCCCACACAAACCACAAGAAAAGAGTAACAGTTTCTGTGTCTGTCTGTGCGTGCGTCTGTCTGTGCGTGCGTCTGTCTGTGCGTGTCTACCTATCTCAAAGATAATTTGCCGATGAAAAGCCACAACATCCCACACAAACCACAAGAAAAGAGTAACAGTTTGAGATAAGATTTGTTGGCTGCAGCAACCTATATTTACACACTTTTTTTGACTTACAGGTTCAATCTAGTCAGTTATACAACAGCTAAGAAATTAGAAGACGACCACCATACTGGCAGTTTAAGCTATTTTTTTTAAAAAACTCTGAGAGAAGACCCATTTCCATGTGTTTACCTTGAGGGTACAGGCACCATTTGTGACTGCATCCTCAGGAATGCTAGCAGCATGCAGAAGCATTTGGGGGACAATCTTTGAACCAAAGCAAGCCACAGGTGAAATTATAAAAGGTAAATGCAATGAGCAGTCAGGATTAGGTAACACTTAAGCAAGCATTAATAAAACACATTTCCCGAATCAGAGCCTGAATCAAATGTTTTACATCAGGTTTTTAAACAATTTAAAAAAATGCAGCACTCTTGTCTGCTGACTTTAACCAGGCAAAAGATACCACTTATTCTTCTCATTCTATTCTGTAAGCAAGAACAATCTATAAAACCACCTCAGAAAAAGTACAATCTATTAGCTAAGTTACAAATGTACAATAACTTCTGTAGAATCTAAGGGAATACATACCATTTGCCCTTTCGGAGAACCTTCTTCTGTTAGTTTTTCAAATAGTTCTTTTGATGACTGGATGTTCTGCTTCAGGTAATCTCCAAACAACAAAGCATACGACACCTTCTCCATTGCCTTGGTATGATTCATGTCAGCTGCTTTCAGAAGATACTGATATGCTCTTAAAAGAAAACAATTTCTTTTGTCACCTTGAGGCAAAGAAGCAGATTCCATTCATGAACCTGAAGATTCTGAAGAGGTGTTTTCCTCCTCTGTTCCAGCCTCTACTTTTAACAAACACATTTACTTACAGTCATTTGTTCCAGCTCTTGTCAATCTATGCAATAACTCACATGATTTAGCTAATAGACAAATTAGATTTTAATGTTCATTCTACTCCATTTGCAAAGCAGTGCACATTTCCTGCCCTGTCAGATTTCCAAAAAGTTTAAGGTCAAACAATCACATTTTTGTAGCAAAAATTAAGTCCTGTACTAGGTAGCTAGAAGGACCACTACTCTGACAGCTCCACAGATCAGGGCAGGAAAAAAAAGGAGCCAAAGAAGGACTATGAAGTTTCTCTGATTTGTTGAGTACAACATCACTGCAGTGAAAACACTAAGTGTTGGGTCCAAGATAACTGCACACATGATGAATTCTGTGTTGCAATAGCCATGCCAACAATGAAAACATTCTCTGGAAACTTTCAGCCGCAGAACTTACAGCAGTCCTCCAAAGTAATTTCACAGCAATTGTTTCCACAGCAATTAATAAAGCCTGCAAACTTAAACATCCTAACACAGTACCGTCAAGACACTTAGCTTGTTTTCTCATGGATCTTTGATAGTGCCTCAAGATTTTTACCTTTCCTCCTTTCTATTGTCAGACTTGTTTTCTTTCTTTAGGATAGGCTGAGACATACCTGGTTCCGCACACAATTTCACTTTCTAAGAAAGTAAGTGCAAGGTATTCAAGAGAACTAATATCTAATATTGTTTTACAATTGTTACTTGATTTTACACACAAAAGTACACTAGTCAGAGTCTAGCAGATACTGTCTTTCTTGGCCAAGGTGTGATAGACAACCTCTAGCTGTTCTTCAGTTTCTCTGGTAAGGCAGACGTGCCTTGTGTCCACGAACAAGTTTCACATGGTAGTAACACAATCATCAGCTGCCTGAAGTCACCACATACTGATGAAGTTGTCAACCTGAGCACCAGGGAGTTCTAAATGAACATCATTATTCTTCATTATAGTGGAAAACTGACAACCGTATCATCAATACTTGGATATACACAGAGCAGAAAGTAAACAGAACACTTTTGTTTGTTTTCTTCATCTACATGCATATTTTCTCACACAATATTATTAGAGTTTTAACAATTTGTTTAGATGATGTTTAATACTATTTCTAAGGTGAACAAAAACATCAGAAAGCAGGAGCAAAAACAGAGCAGGACAAGAAATGCAGATTTTCCCCATGTAATCTTTGAAGCAGGATGAGAACTCAACTGCAAGAAACATTTGAAAAAGGACAGTATCTTGTATCATGTTCTCTGGGCAGTTGCTACATGTCAACCGTGACTAGAGAACTGCAAGACCATCGGTTTTTGATGTTCGCTCTTCAGAATCACAGAACGTCAGGGGTTGGAAGGGACCTCAAAAGACCATCTAGTCCAGCCCCCCTGCCAGAGTAGGATCCCCTACAGTAGGTCACACAGGAACACATCCAGGTGGGTTTTGAATGTCTCCAGAGAAGGAGACTCCAAAACCTCCCTGGGCAGCCTGTGCCAGGGCTCTGTCACCCTCATAGGAAAGAAGTTTTTCCTCATGTTGAGCTGGAACTTCCTTTGTTCTAGCTTAAACCCATTATTTCTTGTTCTATTGCTGGGCACTGCTCTGTCCTCATGACACTCACCCTTTAGATATT